GACAACCTCAATCTTCTCTCCATTTATTGTGAGACTGACTGGAAGAGATCCATATTTGTGCCCATTCCAAAGAAAGGTGATCCCACAGAATGTAGAAATTATAGAACAATATCATTAATATCACATGCAAGTAAGATATTACTGAAGATAATTCAGAAACGTTTGCAGCAGTATATTGATAGAGAACTTCCAGAGGTTCAAGCCGGATTCAGAAGAAGACGTGAAACAAGGGATATCATAGCTGTTGTCAGATGGATCTTGGCTCAAGGCAAAGAATACCAGAAAGATGTTTACTTGTGTTTTATTGACTATGCAAAGGCATTTGATTGTGTGGATCATGACAAATTATGGATAACATTGAGAAGAATGGGAATTCCTGAGCACTTGATTGTACTCATGAGGAATCTGTACCTTGACCAGGAGGCTGTCGTTCGAACAGAACAAGGGGACACTACATGGTTTAAAATCAAGAAGGGAGTGCGTCATGGTTGAATTCTTTCTCCACACTTATTTAATCTATATGCTGAGCAAATAATCCGAGAAGCTGGACTATATGAAGAAAAACGTGGTATCAGGATTGGAGGAAGAATCATTAACAACCTGAGATATGCAGACGATACAACTTTGCTTGCTGAAAGTGAGGATGACTTAAGGCACCTACTGATGAAGGTTGAAGAATACAGTCAGCAGTATGGATTACATCTCAACATAAAGAAAACAAAAATCCTCACAACTGGACCAATGAGCTGTAGAGTGGGGGTTAGCAAACTTTCACCCATGGCCCTCATTTGACCCATCATTTGTTTCTGTAAATAAAGTTTTATTGGCATATAGCCATGCCCTTTTTTACCTATTATTTATGGCTGCTTTGCATAAAGTGGAATTGAGCAGCTGTAACAGAGATGGAGGTAGAATGGCTAGCAAAGCCTGAAATACCATCTGGCTCTTTACAGAAAATTTGCCCCTGCCCCTGCAAATCTGTCTTAGAGGAAGTACAGTCAGAATGTTCTGTAGAAGTGAGAGTGGCCAGGAGTCTTACATACTTTGGCCACGTTATCAGAAGGGACCATTCCCTGGAGAAGGATATCATGCTTGGTAAAATACAGAGTCAGTGAAAAAGGGGAAGGCCCTCAACGAGATGGATCGACACAGTGGCTGCAACGATGGGCTCACGTGTAACAGGGATTGTGAGGCTGGCGCAGGATCGGGCAGTGTTTCATTCTGCTGTACATAGGGTTGCTGTGAGTTGGAGCCAACGTGATGGCACCTAACAACAATAACAACATAGAGTGTCCCACTGTAAAAACCCCAAAATTAAAAACCTGGTTACTGTTAGGTTTCGGATTAACTCTAACTCCTAGTGACCACACGTGTCAGAGGAGAACTGTGCTCCATTGAGTTTTCAGTGGCTGTCTGGATTACCAGATCATTCTCCTGAAGTGCCTCTGCATGGAATCAAACCACCAACCTTCAGGTTAGCTGCCAAGTGTTAACCATTTACACCACTCAGGGAATCCAGCAATACAATACGTTGTATCTGTATTCCTATGGGTGGACTTTGAGGTGGTTTCTAATTTTTTTTTAACAACCTGTGTTTCAATAATCAATTTTGCACATGTTTCCTTGTACAATTTTTCGAGATCCTCTCTAGAGTATTCAGTCCCTTGGGGAGTAAATGGTTAAGAGCTGAGCTGCTAACTGACAGGTTGAAGGTTAGAGTCTCCTTGGAAGAAAGGCCTGGTGATATACTCCCCAAAAAATCAGCCATTGAAAACCAGTTCCACTCTGATGCACATGGATTCTCCATGAGTCAAGTTGGAACTGACTTGACAGCAACTGTTTTTTGGTCTCCAGAGTACGGTTAAAGCATTTGGCTGCTAACCAACAGGTTGGCAGTTCAAATCCACCAGCTGCTCCACAGGAGAAAGATCAGGCAGTCTGCTTCCATAAAGAACTTTGGAAAACCCTGTGGGGCAGTTCTACTCTGTCCTTTAGGGTCGCCATGAGTTGGAATTGACTTGATGGCAGTGGTTTGGTGGAGTGTATCTCTGGAAGCAAAATTGCTGGATGTTAGGCTATATGCAACCTTAAACCTTACTAGATATTACTGCATTGATCCAAGGTGGATTTACCAGCTTTACTCCCACTAGGAGTTCTTGACACTTCCTTTCCACATCCTTGTCAACAACTTGGTGTTTTATTACTTTAAGTTTGTTGAGCCTGATGCTTGTTGTGTGGTACTTCATTGCCTGTGGAATTAAAGTATTTTCCCAGTATTTATTGACTATTTGCTATTCCTGTTATGTGAATTGCCTGACCATATCTGTTGCCCAAGTTCTTTGTCTTTTTCCTTTGGATTTGTGGGCCTTCTTTATATATTGTGGCTACTAGTACTTTCTTGGTGATATGCATTAAAACCAGCCTGTGACTTGGTTTATATTGTCTAGATTTTTAAAAATCTGAGCTGTGTTTTAAGGTACAGTTCATTTTAGTTAATCTTGTCAAAGTAGACAGATGAATATACACTTATACATGTATATTTATATACACACATATATGGTTTTTTTCCTTCGGAATATTTGTGAGGTTGAAAGGGTCTAAGGCAGAAGAAAAAGCAAGCACATAGCATCAGCGTCAGCAAGGCTGATCCAGCACAGCCTTCCTCACCACGGTGTTCACGTGAGCTTGCTACGCACCCATCTTGGAGAAGTCAGTCAGTGCATCTCCTCAAGACTGTCAACTTGAGTCAGTTGATTGTTACTGATTCCTTGGCTGTGTAGTCATGACCCAGGAGAGGTCCTGTGGAAGCTGGTGGCCACCATTAGGGGAGGGTGATAAGCTAGGGTTTGGAGGGCTGCCTTGGACAGAAAATGAATGTGATTTGTGGTTTTGTGTTTCACTGTTTTGGTTTGGCTGAAATCAGGCATTGGTTTCAGCTTGATCAAGTTGAGCCACTTTCAAGCCCACAGCAATTTAAATAATTGAAACTTCATTTGTGGGCCAGGCTGCTTTTGTTTGACTTTACACTAGGCCATCATCCTCAAAACGGAGCCGGCTGGCTTCCACATCTCCCTGCCTCCTCTGACTCTTCAAAGCAAACTTTCTGAATTGAATAATTTAAAACAAAACCAAAAAATCTCCAGTCCTTTGGGTTTACATGCTGTTGCTGTCAGCTGCCTTCAAGTTAGTCGCCGATTCATGGTGACCCGACACACAAGGGAACGGAACTGCCTTCCCCATGACAAGCTGTGGACTAGACTGATTTCCACTGGCTGAGTTTTGGAAGTAGATCACCAGACCTTTCTTTATAGTCCATCTTAGTCTGGAAGCTCCACTGAAACCTGTGTAGCATCATAGCAACACAGGATGGTGGCTGCACATGAGGTGTATTGACCAAGAATGGAATCCGGGATCCCACATGGATTGTGAGAATTCTACTGCTGAGTCCCCAGTGCTTCTCTGGATTTACATAGCTGAAGTTTACAAATTCTTGCAGCCTTGATTTCTGTGTGTCTTAACAGTATCCCGTGAATGGTATGGGGAAGGTATGTTACAACTGTGGTCCTGCCATTGTGGAAAAACCAAGAGATACATGAGCTGGCTTGTCCCTGATCCCGTGCTGGATGTGCCATCCCTGTCTGGTATTTTTCCCACCACATGTCATGAAGGTGGGAGCTCAGTGCCCTAACTGAAATCCAAAATAAGCCCTTTGATTTAGAGCCAACATCACTCCTTGAGGGAGAGCCAGGCTCTGTGGGACCAAGGCAGACATAACTAGGAGAGCTATTCTAACATTCCACAAACCAGTGCTATGTAGCTGACTCTGCACTCCACATTTTCTCACATGTCATCTCATTTGATGGGCAAATTGCTACTGTAATTAACAGAGCTGACTTCCTGGACTTGCAGCCAGTTCAGTCACACAGGGTCAGGAGCTTAGAGAGACCCCATGCTTGGTTTTGTCCTCTGCAGTTGCTATCTTGAATTTTTTAGTAACTTTTGAACAATGACCCCTGCATTTTCAGTTTGCACTGGACCCTACATACTATATAGCTGCTCTTGTCCACTGATACAGAGACCAAGGCTCAGGTAGGCAAAGGGATTTGTCCAAGATTCCACAGGTAATACATATCAGAGCTGGAATTAGAATATCTTCCCACTTTGTTGCTTCAATTTATTGATCTCAGATCTCTGGAATGAGCCTTGTTTGAATCATGCTGCAAGGACTACATAAGCAAGGTAAATTATACGGTAGAAATACTAGTTTCATGTGGAAATTTGCTTTTGTGTTGTTGAGTAGTTTGTGTTGACCTCACACTGGCCAGTTACCATCCTTTTTGTGGAAAGAAAGGACCATATGTGTTTTTCCTCTTGAAACTCCAGAAAGTGCCTAGAACAAGGAGTCTCACATGGAAGCCATTAAGAAAATCAACTAGGTTAATGGGCTTCTTTGATTGGAAAGAGGAAATCAAGACCACTGAATTGACTTTGGTGAGCCATAAAATACACCAGGAATTAAGAGCCTGGTGCATAGTTAAGGAGTTGGAAGGAGTCTGTGTAGCTTTTGGGCCAGATCATGTCATTTCTCCTTTGGTGAAAGAGATTCATGGGCCCCCTATTTAGCTACTCTTTCTGACTTTGCTCTTTCTCCTCTCCTATCATCAACCATTCACCTCTTGACTTTTTCAGGGGGCTCCTTGGAAGGCTGCTGGCCAGTCTAGAGGTTGATTGCTTAGGGTGAGGAATGCTAGCCATGCTGGTATGGTTACATGGCACCAGCATGGTGGTTTGGGGGAAGGAACCTTTAGAATGGAGCAGAGTAGGTCTTGCCTGTCCTAGTCATTGGCTGGCCAATCTCCCAGCATGGCACTTGAGTCTGCCATCTTGGAAGGTGAGCCCACAGCCTCCTATGTGGGATATACCCCTGATAAGGGAGGTTCCTGGATCCCCATGGGGTCTTGCCGGCCTTCCTCGTGATTTGCTCTGTTTTCCTTTCACAGCAGCAAACCCCCTGCTTTGCTCCACCGCCCGCTTCCACTGCAAGAATGGCCTCTGCATTGACAAGAGCTTCATTTGTGATGGGCAGAACAACTGTCAAGACAACAGTGATGAGGAAAGCTGTGAAAGTTCGCAAGGTAGGAGCCTCTCAAGCTGTAAACCATAATCAAAGCTCAGCATCAAAGTAACACTGAAGAGCACACTGAAAGGAAGAAAATAACACCCACCGCCACCACCATGACAGCAGTTATGTTCATTTTTGCCCATTACCTTGCAGCCCTTGTACACATGGGTACATGCGTTAGCATGGTTTTTTAACTATCACACACTTAACATTTTGTCTTCTGTATTTTCCACGTATCATACACATTGTTGTTGTTGTTATTTGCCATCAAGTCTGCCCCGACTCATAGCGACCCCTCCTTGGGTTTCCGAGGCAGTATCACTACGGAAGTAGGAATGCCCAACATAGTCCTTCAAAATGCAGCTGCTCCGGCTTCATTACATTCTGTCATGCTCCTATACTGTGGTTCTCTCAATTTTTGCCTTGTAGGGTGGCATCTAGATTCCTTTTCCTTGGACTGTTTCTTTAGGATTAAACTTTGGAGTGTTTGCTTTTTTCAGGTTTACAGTGTTGCTAACGTTGTCTGTGCCTGCCATCTTACTGTCCTGTCACAGGCACTCACTGGTGTTCTGTTTTGGTTTTGCTGATTTAGTAGTTGTGCACTGATAGCCCCCAAATGCTTTAATTTGCATCTCTCTGATTATGGGCTTCCCACTGTTTCCTCCTGCATGGATTGCCTGTTCATGTCAGGGCTCTTCATTTCCATGCTGTTTTATTGAAGCTGAAGGGTACAGCTGGGGGATGGCAAAGCAAGCTTTGGTGGGGAACCTTGGGGCGAGAGAGTGTGTGGGGTAAGGTCATATCTTCCCCTGTTAAGCTCATCAGATACATTTTTACTCAAATCATGTATCCTTTCAGTGTTTAGGAAAAAACACAAAGATTTGAAAATGAACATCCAGTATGAAATAACTATTTAAAAGTATGTATTTCTGTTACAAACTGGTATCATCTGTATGCATTGTATACTTTTTGTATATTATTGTGTCTTAGTTGAGTTCATTGTTTTGACTATTAGTCAATATTCCATCGTGTGACTAAACCAGAGTTTATAAATTTAATAAAAATATAAAAAGAAAAGCAACAAGAATGATGGTTAACTGGTTAACTCATATGTGGGGAGATAGATGGATGGGAGAAGTTCCATGTAGTTGTTAGTAATTTTCAAGGTCCTCGCTTTTATTTTAGGAGCTCTGGTGGAGTAGTGCCTAAGGCATTTAACAGCTAACCAAAAGGCTGGCAGTTCAAACCCACCAGCCACTCCTCAGAAGGAAGATTGGACAATGTACTTCCATAGAGATATCACCTCGGAAACCCAAGGAGGGGTTGCTATGAGTTGGAACCGACTTGATGGCATTGAGTTTGGTTTAGCTTTTATTTCAGGTGTTGTTTAATGAACAGATGGGTCGTGAACAGACCACTGGTGAGAAAGGATCACTGTCTTAGTCAGGGGTCTCTAGAGTGATAGATAGATATCTGACTTTGATTCTAACTGTGGTCACCCATGTGTGGTAGAGTAGAACTGTATGTACTCCATAGTATTTTCAATGGCTGATTTTCTCAGAAGTTGATTGCCAGGCCTTTCTTCCAACATGTCTCTGGGTGAACGTGAACCTCTTGGGTAGCAGCTGAGTGTGTTAGCCGTTTGTTCCAGCCAGGAAAGTGAAGGAAGGAAGGAAGAAAGAGAAGTGAGGGAGGGGAGTAGAGGAGAGGAGAAACAGAAGAGACTCTTAACTTGTGAAATCATAAATAAAGACCCATGAAAACCTATAAGCTGGGCCAGTGGAGATGGGAGATTTGGGAGTGAGAGGAGGAAGACCGTACCTGTTACTGGGCCTAGTCTGTAGAAGAGTGCCCTGGGCTCCAGATCAAATAGATAAATGTCAGCCATCATTCCATGCATTTTACTATTTAATCCTCACAAAATCCTTATGTGACTAAATGCTGTTATCATCCTCCACTTTCTCGATGAAGAATCCAAAACACAGAATGTTCCTTGACCAAGGCCCCACAGCTAAGTGGTGGAGTGTCCTTCATCACGCCTCGATCTGTTTAGCACTAAGCTGAGATCAAGAACGCCAGGCAGTCGCTTCAGCTCTTGCTCGTGAGAGCTCATGGGGGTGGTTGAGTATGATGATGGATATATTTTCTTTCTCTTTGTGCTCAAGTTTTTCTTTCAGTTAAAAAAAAGAGAGAGAGAGAGAACTTAGATGCTTGCCCACCTTCCTGCTTCATGAAGAAGTCCTGTTCTGAAGAAGCCAGGAACACCAGGCTAGTTAACTGAGCATTTTGGCAATTGGGTTGCAGTTGCTTTTATCTTGATTGCTGTATCCTGGTAATGAGGCTTAAGGAGAATTTGGAAAGCTGACTGTGAAGTTTGGCACCTTCCCAGAAGCAAACAATGACGTGTGTGTGTGTGTGTGTGTGTGTGTGTCTTCAGCTGGGTATTCATATCAGTGGGTACTTCCTGGATACCAGGCCCTATGCTGTCTATGAGGGATATACAAGTCATCTTGTATATCCCCAAAAAGTCACATTCAGGTAGGGTACAGCCATCAACCCAGTCATACATTAAATTCAACAGCTGGAGTATGAACAAGAGGATGTGGCACTGGTCAGAGTGAGAAAGCAAAGTGAATTGAGGCTCTCTGGCAGGTGGGAAAGGGCTTGGTGGGTTCAGGGAATGGTGAAAAGCTGAAGGTGAATATTGTTGGTGGGGAGAGGTGCTAGTTGGTCTGCTGCCTGGGGGTTGGTAAAGCCATGCTAAGGAACCTAGTGGCACAATAGTTAAGTGCCCGAATGCTAACTGAAAGGTTGGCTGGAGATTAGAAGCCATCCAGCAACTCCATGGGAAAGAGACCTGGCAATCTTCTTCCATAAATATTATAGCCTAAGAAACCCTATGGGGTGGTTCTACTCTGTCTTATAGGGTCTTATGAATTCGTCTCTTTGAACAACAATAGAGCCACACTTGGTTATTAGGACAGCTCCCAGGCTATCTTTTGATGTTTGTTTTCTGTGCTTGGAATAAAAGCCTCACCACCTCTGTCTCCACAGCAGCCCTGGAGCTGGAGTCAGAGGAGTCAGCAACCCACCAAGTTGCCTTAAAGCCATGACCAAATCCATCAACTTCTCCATTCTCCCATCACCTTAGGATACTCACACTTGAGTCTATCCCACTCCAGTCCAGTGCCCCAGCCCCTAATAACCCAGTGACTGACTGATGGAGAGCTGGAGCCTGGATTCACAGTGAACAGATCAATGGCTACAGCGACAAAGACTTTGGAACAGCCCTGCCCTCCCAAACCTGATAGTAAAACCTGATAGCTTAGGGAATCAAGGAAGAGGTCTTGGCCGTGGGGCAAAGGGGCCAACAACTCATGCCACCAGTGTTTGATCAGTGGCTTCCATACTTTTACCCATTGTGACCAGTTGCATGGTATGGTCCATTGTGGGAACCACCCTTTACCCACTGCTGAAATTTGGAGTCTGTTGTCCCTTGACATCCCACCCTTTCCTTCATGTATGGGACCTGTGGTAAAGTGCCTTCTTTTTCTTATTCTTCACTCCCTCCCTCTACCCTGTGGGTGACCTGATAGAGTGGCTAGAGTAAATTTCTCTGTCCCATAGATTTTGAGTTTGCTCTGGCCAGTGGAATGTTAGCCAGTGTGATGACAACAGAGCCTAGAAATGGGCTTGCTCCCTTGGGCTTGGTCTCTTGCTTTGCGGTGACCTGCCAGAAGGACATGCCCTGGGAGATACTGGTCCAAGAAGAATGTGGCACCAGAACCCAGCCCATAGCCTGAGGTCAGTCCTAGCTGAAGTCAGCAGTGCCAAAGCCCACCCACACAGCCAGTAGATGGCTTCAGAATGTATTTGAAGCTAGTTTCACCAACGCTGATGATAAACTGCATGAGAGTGGCCAAGGATAGAAATAACCATGGCAGATCACTGTGGGGATGCTAATTTTGTGCAACTGGAGAACCTGCTGTCTCCTTTTCCACTTGAGCTTGCTTTTTGTCCTTCTGGAGCGTGTCTTCCACTAGCCTGAGTGATTCAGAGTGAAGGGAGCTTGCTTTTGGAAAAGACCTTTGCTTTCTGTTGAAACACAGAGCCAGGGGTCTGAGTATTCAAAGATAATTGTAGAGAAATCCCAGAGTGGTGTAAGATGAGAGAATTTTTGGTTTTGTTTTTAAAGAGTAAATGCAAGAGAGCTTTATATTTAAAACAAACAAAAACCCTAGGTTGAGAGGACCCAACCCAAAATGTCACAACCTAGAATTTGATGAGTGGTGAATATTTCTCACAAAACCTGTGGGCACCATGCAATGGCCAGATCTTTAGGAGAGGGTCCCCAGAGAAGACTCATGACCCTTAAATAATTCATTCAGCTTTTCTTAGAATAAAACAGCTGGAGGTGAGTTTAGAGGTAGGAAAGTGGAAGCCTTTTTCTCCACTTTCAATTTAAAAGCACAGCTGGCCTGGGAAAGGCCGAGATGCTGACTTCTGTTGAAGAAACAGAACAAGGTTGGGAGAGATTGATAGCCGCCCCTTCTTGATCGCCAACTTTCTGTACCTGTGGGGTTTTCTTCTTGGTAATCAAACGTTTGCGTTATGGGAACGTCCTTCTCTTCAACCACTGAAGCAAGAGTTTGGCAGTTTCTACAACATCCCTCATTTAGAAGCAAGTGACAGTAATTCTGCACTTGTTCGGGATGGTAATTGCTTCCTAATCTGGTTGCCACCTTGGTAATCTTCACAGTTGCTTTCTTGGTCTCTCCCATTTGGGTCTTGTGCATGTCTCTCATTCTCTTCCCTCTCCTGGTCCCTGCCTCCATCCTTCCAGTTTGGACAGCTGGCAGAGTGGGCCAGTTCTAGAGATAGATGGACCAAGTTTCAGGGCCATGGGGAGGTGGGGCCTGCTGGCTCTCTAGGAGTCTCTTCTGCAAGTTTACTGAGTGGGGACGGCCATGCTGTGCTACTTGACTGTGCAGAGGATGTTGATACTTCTGTGGG